AGTCGAATCCATCACTGCATGGAGATTTTCCTGAAGCCGCCGCAGTCCGAGAGATTTTCCTTTTGCTGTCGATGTCACTGAAGAGTCCTACTGGCAGGAGAGCTCCGATGGATTGAGCTAGTCGCGTGAGTGATTGGGGTTAGATTACACACTTTTACATCCATTTTACTTGTGACATTTGATGTGTTTGCACAGTCCTTGGAGCTAGTTTACGCGAGGTTTGTTCGTATTTTTTTATGTTTCAGACCTAAGTAGGTAATATTGGAACCGAGATAGAAAGTTGGGTGAAAGAGGGCGAAAATGGAGCAAAATAGATGAAAGTGCAGAGATCACGGTTGTGGAGCAATTGTCATGGGCGCAGATCGTGATGTCAACACTCCAACCGTGAAGTTCACAAGGTTCTAGGAGGATTTGTATGCCTCGCAGGCAATGTCAATATCACAGTCTCCAGACCGTGATGCCAACAAGCGACCCGAGAAGTTTGTTAGTGAAATGGCCCATTTTGCACCGAGATCACAGTTTCACTGTCAATTTCACGGGCATGACGTGAGACCGTGATTTGTGCACTTGGGACCAATATAGGGGAGAGTTAGGTGAATTCAAAGGGGGGAGAGTCTTATTGAGAGATTGAAGCTTCTTCTTCAAGGTTTAGAGAGAGAGAGAGAGAGAGAGAGAGAGAGAGAGAGAGCTACGAGCTAAGGAAGAAGGAAGGAGAATTTCAATTACCCAAGACTAAAGGAAGGTTGATTTCTTCTCCAAAGGTTGAATTAAGCACCTAAGAAGAAGGAAGATCATCCTGCTATGGGTTTTTCTTCTCTCTTATTTGTATTTTCTCCTCTAGCTATGGAGTAGTCTCCAATTTCACTCACATATTGTGAACCCTAGTCTAGGATGTGCTAGATTGTAGGAATTGAACTCTATGTGTGTTGGGTTTGTGATCAATATAATTTTTGAGGTATTATTCATGGAATTTGAGTGTTGTGGATCATATCTCACTTTTGGGACAAGTTGACCTAGAAGGAGAAAATCTCCTCATAGCCAAATCTTGGCAATTTGGGCAACCTTTTTTTTCTTCTTTTTGTTGATTAGGATGATATAAGTTTTAACTTTTTTTTAATGATTAATGTACTACTTAAGGGATTTGAACTTGAGACCTCCAGATTCTAGGTTGTGGTATTACCACTAGGCCAAGCCCTTGTTCGTAGCAAGTTGGGTAACCTTCTCTAGGACAATTCGGGTCATTCCTCATTCATCAAAGTAGTTCCATGATATCATCTTGATTGGTTACTTTTTTCCATTATAGTTTATCTTCAGAGGGAGCGATTTTGCCATCTTTAGTCAATCGATTAAGAAGCTTAGGATTTTCTAACTAATTGTGACAATCCTTAATCGATCGACTAAGAGTCTTATGGTTTCCGTAGCTAATTGTGACCTACTTGCGGTTTATGAACCTACTTATGACACTAGAGTTTCGTTCGATGTATCTTGACACGAGACTAGGGGAGCAATATCTAAGTGATTCTTTCTAAATCGAACTCACTAAAGTTTACTTGCTTAGTTGTTTAATTTGCTTAATCTTCTTAGATTTAACTACAATCTGATCCCTAGATAACGTGTGAACAATTGAAGTAAGGGTAGATAGAACACCCAGCTTGACGTTGAAATACTTACCCTATCTTAGACCCGTTTATAGGTTGCACTTAGCCTATAATTGGGATTAAGTGTAATGGTGGCCGAGTCAAGTTTTTTCAGGGGCCGTTGCCGGAGAGCACTTTCTATTATTCGGAAAAAGTTGTTTACAGTAAATTTAGCATTTAATTTCTTTGCATTTTGAGTTTGGATCTTGATTGTCTTGGCTTGTGTTTGTGTTTCGTGAAGTGTGTGCAAGAGGTGTATGACCGGAGCAACCTAGCACCTTTGGCCCCACTCGGCGATAACATCAATCGTACTCAGGGACTACTAGCTCAAGAGAAGGAGTTAAGGGAAGCAAGAGAAAGGCTCGCAGTTAGGGGACAACCACAAGTTGAACTCGGAGAGGAAGTTGAAGTTGAGGAGGAAGTTGAATCTGAAGAAGAGGTTGAAGTTGAAAAACTTGAGATGACAAACGAATCTGAGCAAGGAGGTGATGAAGACAAGATGATGGGCTATTACATGTCTGCACGAGTTGTCGACATCCAGTTGATCATTCTTCACCAGCCTGTGGCAGCCAATAGTTTTGAAATCAAGACGAGCATCATCACCATGATTCAGAACAATATTCAATTCCCTGGACTTGAAGATGAATCCCCAAGGGAGCACATCAATTGATTTTATGAGTTAACAGATGGCTTAAAGATCAATGGGGTGTTTCAAGACGCCCTTAGGTTGAGATTCATTCCTTACTCACTTAGTGGGAAGGTACATATTTGGCTCAACAAAAGCCCTCCACTCTCGATAACATCATGGGGAGATTTTCTAACCAAGTTCATGAATCAGTAATTAGGTACTGCCCGCCTTCCAAATTTGCGGATTTTATGATGAAGATCACTCAATTTGCTTAATATCATGATTAGAATTTAAGGTATACTCCAATCTCTTTCGCCAATGTCCATACCATGGTTTTGGAGAGAAATTCCGGATGGAGAGCAATGTCCACACTTATTGATTCTCTATGCCAAGGGAATATACTCAATAAGAATCCACCCGAGATGACTGCATTGTTTGAATAAATGGCTACTAAGGGATATGATTGGGGGATGAGAAGGCGTGGAAGGAAGATTCGTGAGAGGGGATTACACTTCACCGAAGAAACTCCGCCACTTGTGCCAAAGATTGATGAGTTGATCAAGGTGATCTTGCATGATAGGAAGCAAGGGAAGAGCTAGGTTATGGTTTGTTATTGGTGTTCGAGTCCTAACCATGAAGTTGAAGAATGTCAAATCATGAGGGTGACAAGCACTCCGAAATAACAAGTTAACTTCATTGCTAATGTTAGGGGGGAAATCCAAACAGCACCCCTATAACAATACATACAATCCGGGGTGGCACAACCATCCCAACTTCGCATGGTTGGCACCAACCAATCTGAAACCACCTATTTTTCAAGGGCCAACCGGAGGTTATCTACCAAGACCTCCATTTGTTCAAAGGACACAATTCCAATCCTCAAAATTTCAGCAAAAACAATACCAACTACAAGGTGTGCAAGGGTTTCAACAACAACAACAACTCGATAGGGTCTCTAACTCGAAGACCTAGTCATAACCTTTGTGAGTATAAGTACTCAAAAGTTTGAGAAGATTGAGAAGTTCATGGAAGTCACAACAAACAAATTCACTTCAGTTGAGGTGAGTTTAATAAGTCATCAAGCTAGTCTTCAATACTTGACTCAAATTGGCAACCTAGTCGAGATCCTCACCAAGAGATCTCAAGGAGCTCTACCTTCGCAAACTGTTGCTAACCCCAAACATCCAAGAGCGGGGTGCATGCTATTACACTAAGAAGTGGGAAGGTAACTCAAGATGTTGTGATGAAAGAAACGATTGAAGAGGAAGAAGCCCCTCCAAAGGTCGATGAACAAGTTCATTTGGAAGGAAAGGATGAAGAGGCTAAGTAGGCACCACCGACGCCACCTCTCGTGGATGAGTACAAGCCTCCCCTTCCTTTCCCCTCAAGAGTTTGTAAGGACCGTTTGTAGGTAGAGTTTGGGAAATATATGGAGATACTCAAAAAGCTCAACGTCTCGGCTCCTTTCTTGGAAGTGATGATGCAAATGCCGAGGTATACAAAGTTTCTAAAGGGGCTTTTCATGAAGATCCAAGAACAAGCAACCCTAAAAGCAACAAGATCCAAGTAGCTTCTCTATCCCCCTTTGTATTAGAACATGTCATATATAGAAATCCTTGGCGGATTTAGGAGCAAGTATCAATGTCATGCCATATAAGATTTACGAGAAGTTAGACCTAGGTGAATTGAAATCCACTAGGTTGTGTGTTACATTGGCTGACCATTCTACGATTTGTTCTAGAGGCATAGTGGAGGATAGTTTGAGTGGGGCAAGTTTTACAGTCCAACAGATTTTATTATCCTGGATAGTTGTGAGGATACCGACATACCCCTCATACTAGGACGATTTTTACTTGCCACCCCAAGGCATTAATTGACGCGAATTAGGGAATATTGATTCTGAGAGATGGTGAGGAGAGTATCACTTGTTCTATCGGTCCAAAGGATAAACTTGACCATGTGGATTAGATAGAATCGAATGGTGTTATTGTTAGTGGAGGTAATCTTCCGAGGCGAACCCCGTTTGTGCTATTCGTGTTTTTGGTGATGTGAAGCAGGATTCGGAAGCGGGTGCAAATCCCAAAGTTAAAAAGGAGTGGACCCAAAAGATAAATCTCGCCTTATCTAAAGGAAGGACAAGAGAAAGGAGTATGCAATTGGATATGAGGGTCACCCTTGAAAAATACTGATTTGAGACAAGCCTCACCCCGACAGTTTGGCAGATCCACTCTCGGTGGCCTCATGTTCTCAAGCATGAAGATCCGTAGAGTCTAGCTAAGGATGTAAAACAAGCTCTCGTTGGGATGCAAACCAAGTGTGTGAGTTTTGAATGATCACAGGCCATGTTTGATTTTTTTTTTACTATGAATGTGATGTGTTTGAGTTAGGGAGATAGTTAAATTGTTTGAGTGTTGATAATTGTGGAAATGCCTATTTTTGCACTAGTCACGATTTCTGTGTAATCTTCACGGTCTCTAACCGTTATAATTACATGCAAACCGTGATGTCGACAAGCCTTCCCACGATTTGCAAACATCACGGTCCGCATGTTATTTTCATGGCCTGGAACCTGTGATTTTAAATGTACCGTGATGTCAGCCCAAAACTCACCGTTTTTGCCCGAGATCATGGTTTGCCTATCAGGATCATGGTCTAAAACTGTGATCTCAGCAGCAAAATCGTGAAGTTGACCCTTGGGCAGTATAAAAAGGGTGTGATGTTCACCAATGGTGAACATTTTATCTCACCAAAAAACTTTGGATCCATCATCGGGAACCATCCTCCCATAAGGTTTTACGATGATTGGATCTAGGTCTAGGAGACCAAATAAAAAAAACAAACACATAACGATACTCCTCTCATCTACCTGCCCCTTCGTCGAGGTTATGGAGGAGTTTAACTTTGATTCCGTCGCTGGTGATTTGCTTTGGTGAGCTTCAGACGAAGCTTTGGTGACACGTTCCGGCCAGTTTTTCGTTCATTTTTATACCCCCTTGCCACTTCCTCACCTTCTTCTTCGATCCTACTTGTGTCTTCAGGTGTGTTTCCATCTTTAACTTGGTTAATTTAAGAGAATTGGATCTAGGATTCTTAGGTGAGGAGAATGGGAAATTTTTGCATGAATGATGAAATTAGGCGAGGGAATCATTGACTAATGATGATTGCATGTTGCTTAAGTGTTTGATTGGATGATTAAGCCTTGGTGGGAAATAATTTGCATGTTTTGGTTGTTTGAATTGGGAATTCCCATAAAGTTTGTGCTTTTAATGAGTAACCCTAATAAACTTTTGTGCATGAATGGTGGCCACATGAGCATGATCTCGGCTTGCAACCTTGATGACATATGAAACACCTAGTTTTATGTCGGTGTGCTCGAAGGTTGATTGAGCTTAAATGTTGGCTATCTGGCCTTGTGAAAAGCCTATGATGACATGTTGGAACTTAAGTGTGGGGGAGTTGTTTTTCTCCCCATTGTGCATGTCTAATAAATTGTTCCACGTATAGTGCATGTTGTTTGGTTTTTTGCAGGATGGGTACCTCGATGCATCCTTATATCAACTACTTGGTGGATCAGCCAGTCTATGGGTCAAACTTTGAGTGTGGCGAAACGGGGATATTGAGCCCCATTGACACCTCGACTTGGACATGTTTGACATGTTCCATTTTCGAGCTGCCATTTCAACAACTATCGGCCATCCCTAGTGGTGCATTCTTCTCATCATTGATAAACGCATCTGCCGAGAGTAGTGTTTGGAGTTTTAATCATAATTTTTGCACGAGCAGCCCCAAGCCGGCACGCCTAACCTAATGTCGAGTTCATGCCAGGATGCTCCACCATACCATCGGCTATGACACGTTGGCCGGAGCTTTGGGACTCCACAGGGGGATCATGACTGTCTCGGAGGGAAAACACTAGGGTTTTTAATCCCCAACAAGTGTTTGAGGCGATATGCCTGTTAGTGGAGTGGGAGCATACCTTCATGTGGGCCACACAAAGGCGACGCAGTTCAGACCCTAGTTGAGGATTCTCCATATGCTCCTGCCTCATTGTGTGATTCTGAGTCTCCTAGTTGGCGAAATAGGTCACTCTTTGGGGGATGGTGGCCTTGCACAATATGGGACCACCCCAAGAGCCACTTCACTTGGGTTCAGTGATGGCGACTACCTTCTCAAGGATTTTTGGTCGCCCTCGGGTCTACACTAAGCACCTGGGCCCCCATCATCACCAGACTTGCCGTGTAATTTGGGATGGACCTCACCCACTACACGGTGGGCCAGACCCTGATCTTCCCGATGGAGACACTCCGTCATATGATATTGGTTCGAATAGAGCGAGGCATCGAGTACATCAATGGCCTCCAAGCTTCTGCCATATTTCAACCCGTGGTGAAGGAGGCACCAGAGCCAGAGCCAGCTCGGAGAGCTCCACCACCACCATGACGCTGTGTCTATCATGGGGCTTCTTCATCATCATCCAGAGCATGACCATCTTTTCCCACTATCGGCTTAGAGGCACGAGTCACTACCCTTGAGGGCCAATTTGATGGGCTGTCTTCACAGATCTCTTGAGAGCGAGACGCTTGACAAAATCCCCACTACCTAGTGGAGGAGCTCCAACCACTCTTCTCTATACCTCATCGAGGACAATGTCGTGCTTAAGTTTTTTTTTTTTTTGGAGGGGGCGGGGGTGTACATGTAGTTGTGAATGGCCTATTTGAATGTGTTGGAGCCTTGTGATTGCCAAATGTTTACAATTTGAGGGCTCCAACCACTTGTGCGTGAATGAATAATTAGATGGACAATATTGAGATGTGCTTTGGAACCTAGATTATTGCTTTAATTGAAAATTTTTAGGGGTTCGTATCAAAATTGTCCCTATCATGATCTTGCTTAGTGTGATTTGAATTGTTTGATGATTGTGTTGGTGTGAACTATAGGAAATAGTGATGTGCCATGCAAATCTTTGATAATGAGTGGCTTTACTTCGATTTTCTCTCGGTTTTGGGAAACTGCTTGTTATTGAGGTTAGGACATGCGTGTTGGACTTCCCAAGTAGGGCTTCAAAATATCTTGCAAAAGGTGCTCCAAAATTGATTTTTTTTTGAAAAATTGAGTTTCTCACGTGATAGGCACCATGCATAGTGTTTGAAGTGAGCCGTCAAATGGCACTTCTGTCGGTCCGGAGTATCATTGGGGGATGTGTTTGGTGTTTAGATAGCTTTTTAGTGTCCCAATCATCTTTCCCTACCTTTCATCCCCCAAACATCTCTCCTCCTCACTAGCTCGTATGGAAAGAGACAAAGTCTCTTTTAACGAGTCACGAGACCTTGGCTCTTGTTTGCACCCAAAATTGAGGTTCTTCACATATGCATGACAATAGTTTACCTAACACATGTCAATTAACATATTCTCAAATCCTCCCATATGCTAATGAAATTAAATACAAATTGCATAAATCATCAAAAAAACAATCACAAAAGTAATACTACTACAAGAAACACATGATATGTGATTATCCTTAAACTCAAAATATGTCTTTCAAATCCTTGTGATTTTTTTTAAACATCTCACCAATTTATGAGTGATTTTATTATTTTGAAAGTGACATATGAAATGGAACGAGTATAATGGATCGAACTGCTAACCCACCCAACGCGATCCAAAAAATAAAAGGTTAATAAGGTTCGAGACATTTCGAAAATATTCATGTTGGGTCAATAGGTCGGGTTGTAATTTGCCAGGTCGAAATACAACTATTCTCCACTATAAAAATATTATATAAATAATTAACATTTTAAGCAAATAAATCGAGGCCAAAATTACCAACATGCATAAATGTTGTTTGGATTTTAATGAAATGAAATTTATTTCTACTTATGTATTGTCTTTTTCGTAAATATTTTTCGAAATAAGCTAAGGTAGTTATAAGCTAATACATTCATAACTAGCTTATAACCCAGCCTGTTGGTCGGAATATTCATATTTGATTATTATATTTTCATGTTACGTTTAAGTCGATCATTTGTTTAATTTTATTGATAATCTTTCGATCGAGATGATATATAAAGAAATAATATATAGGTCAAAAATTTGGACAAATATCATCATCATTTAATAATATAAAATACAAAAATGTAACATCGATCCTATTTTCATAATGATAATTAGTTCTTCGGTAAAATGCTATTGGTTAGTTGATTGTCAAGAAAGATAAAGTATAAAAACTCACCAATATTTTCACACGAACCATAGATAGTTTGAAACTAAATCCTATATAAATTTTTAATGCTCTCCTTTTAGGAACAATATGCCACTAAACACAAAGAAATAGAGAGGTGTTGATTCAAGTCAAATACATATTAACAACTCAGCTAAGAGGGGACCATCAAAACTTGAGAGCAAACGCCAACATTAGGGTTATCTCCATAGTAATAGACTCGATCAAAGTCATAAGTAACAAAATTAGACACTCCTTCTCTATCAGTTCTAGTAGGTTGAATATATAATCGACCAAACTACTTCGGTAAATCAATCAATGATTCCTCGTTTTAAGATAGAAATAGGTTGTGATAGGTGCAAAAATCATAAACCTAAAGATCCAATAGCCACCACTCTCCGTTGTACAATCAAAATTTTATTCACTTTATCTTCAATTTCAAGAGGCGTATGTTTCAATCAAAAATTCAATTTCCAATCCTCCTTCTGCAACTCCATTTATTGATCCATTCTATTCACCATGGATTGACATCAGAGTTGAAATCTTCTACTTGCCAGTTTAAATCCCCAACAATAAAATCGTAGTGCAAGAGATAGCAGAAGATTGATTTTCAAAGGCGGCCTTGTACTTATAGGTGTCAATCGGGCGGGTTCGGACTTGGTTCAATCGGGTTCGGGTTCAAACGGGTTGTGGGTAAGTCGGGTTGCGGTTTCATCGGGTTCAGGTTCAAACGGGTTCCAGGTTAGTTGGGTTGCGGGTTCATTAGGTTTGGGTTCAATCGGGTTGCGGGTTCATCGGTTTTTGGGTCGGGCGGGTTAGGGGCGGAGCGGGTTGCGGGTTGTTCGGGTCAGCGCATTGAGTAACTTACTCATTACTCGTTACCAACTTATACATTTTATTACACTAATTTAAAATATTTTTTCTCAACTTTTTAACCAATTTCTTTCTACCTTGTAATATATATTGAAAAGAAACTAAAGCGTAAAAGAAACGACACTCAGGTTTACGTGGTTTCCCCGTTCTGTGAAGAACGAGACTACTCCACGGAAAACTCCATAAGGAGCTTTCGGTTCTATTTTATTATCTTTGTAAGCTGCTCTTTCTCAAGCTGCAGCAACATCCAAACACAAAACCCATATAAATACCCTATTACAGCCGTAGGGTCAAGCCAACACAAATAGCTAGGGAAAATTATCAATCAACTCTCTAAACTATAGAAGTATTACAATACCCCCCCTCAAGCTGCGGCGTGAAGATTACGTACGCCCAGCTTGGAAAGCAAAGAATGAAATTGTTCAGCTCCAAGAGCTTTGGTAAATATATCCGCCAGCTGCTCCGTAGTATGGATCTTCATCGGGGCAATGTCATGAGAAACCACTCATTCCGGAACGAATTAACAATCCATCTCAACGTGCTTCGTGCGTTCATGAAAGACTGGATTAGCCGAGATATGCAGGGCCTCCTGATTGTCACAGTACAAAACTGCGGGACTCAACTGAGGAACCATGAGCTCGCGAAGCAACCAGCGAAGCCACAAGACCTCGCTCACTGTAGTCGCGATCGTGCGATACTCTGCTTCAGCGGACGATCGAGCTACCACACTCTGCTTCTTGGTACGCTAGGAGATGGGAGCTGAACCTAAGCTTAGAAAATAACCTGTGCTAGAGCGTCGAGTACGTAAGCAACCGCCCCAATCTGCATCGCAGAAAGCTACCAACTCTAATGAGCCTTTGGCAGGAAGAAACAAGCCTTGACTTGGGGCTAGCTTTACATAACGCAACAAACACTGTGCGGCTGCTAAATGATCCAAGGTAGGAGCTGCTGTCGATTGACTGAGAATATTGACAACATAGACGATGTCGGGACGAGTAACGGTCAGATACATCAAATGGCCAACCAACCGACAATAGGCCGAAGCATCAATAGTAGGATCTAAATCCGGTAGTGGCTTGGTCAGTTGATGATTATGTTCCATGGGAATCTGACAAGTACGTGCCCCAGTGACAACCGCATCAGAAAGAATATCGAGGGCATACTTTCGTTGACTGAGCACTATACCCTCTGAGGAGCGAGCAACTTCAATGCCAAGGAAGTATCGTAGTGGCCCCAAATCCTTGATACTGAACTGAGAATGTAGAAAGTGTTTAACTCGATCAATGAATGCCCGATCATTGCCAGCTAAGACGATATCATCTACATAAATCAATGCTGCTACGAACACAGTCCTCATGCGATAGATTAACAAGGAGTGATCTGCATGAGAATTAACAAATCCCGACTGAAGTAAGGCACTAGTAAACTTGTTATACCAATTCTGGGAAGCTTGACGAAGACCATAGAGAGATTTCCAAAGCCGACACACCCGGGTATCTCCTGTTTCCCAAAACCTAGAGGGACCTTCATGTAGACTTCCTCTTCTAGATAGTCATGGAGGAAAGCATTGTTAACATCTAGTTGCTCTAAAATCCAGCCACGATGTGCCGCGACTGCGAGAAGACAACGGACTGTGACTAACTTTGCCACAAGAGCAAAGGTGTCGTGGAAGTCGATCCCCTCCTGTTGAGTAACATCTTGCGCAACTAGGCGCACCTTAAATCGTTCAATCGTACCATCCAGGCTATACTTTATCTTGTAAACCCACTTTGAACCAATAGCATGCATCCCCTCCGGCAAGAAAACTAATTCCCATGTTCCATTGGCAACGAGTGCATGAAATTCGCGTTGCATGGCAGCTCGCCAACGTTCATCTCGAATTGCTTCATGTAAGAACCGTGGCTCAAAATCCTTGGTAATAGCTGCAAGAAAAGCATAGTGAGTAGGATGAAATCTATGATACGTGACCTGAGATGACATGGGATATTGAATATGAGAACCATGGAGGGAGGTAAGTCCACATCATAGCCGGCAAGACAGGATGACAGCTGCCTCACACGATCGCTTAGCCGGACAGGAGGAGGGGAGGGAGAGGGGTGAGCAGCCTCTCCGGACGTTCCTGCCATGTCAGGCTGTCCGACGGTAGTAGCTTGAGGCGAAGAGGATTCAATAGCTTTCGAAGAAGTGAGCTCCCGCTCCAATGAACCGCCAAGTCCAACCTCATCATTAACCATTTCTTCATCACTAGCAAACATAATTTGCATGTGATGCATGGGCACACGTGGCCTAGTAGAGGGAACAGGAGCATGAGGATAGATAGTCTCAACGAAGACAATGTCACGAGAAGTATAAATTTTCTGACTCTGCACGTCATAAACCCGGTAACCCTTTTGCATGGCTGGATATCCGACGAAAACACATGGACGACCCCGTTCAACAAACTTATCTAGCCCATGATGAGTGTCCTTTGCCTACGCCAAACAACCAAATACCCGGAGAGCATCGAGAGATGGAGGACGTAGTAGTAGGACCTTATAAGGAGTCTGATTATTAATGGCCTTGACAGGTCGACGATTCAACAAATAAGTTGCCGTCAGTACACATTCTCCCCAAAAACGTACAGGTAGATGAGCCTGAAAGCGTAAAGCACGAGCTGTGTCCAGAACTGAACGATGCTTACATTCCACTACGCCGTTTTGTTGAGGAGTATCGGTGCAAGTCGTTTGTAGAATAATCCCATTAACTTCATCATAATCCAGCATTGCAGATGATTGAAACTCGACCCCACTATCGGCCTGAATGCGACGAACCTGACTGTGAAACTGAGTTTTAGCTTGCTCACAGAAAGCACAAATATATCGGCATGCATCAGACTTAAATTTCAATAGATACACCCAAGTAGCTCTACTGAAATCGTCGACTATTGTCAAGAAAAACCGCGAACCATCCGTCGCCGGTGTATTGTTTTCACCCCACAAATCCATATGTACCAATTCAAAACAACTCTTTGTTTTAATAGAACTATGGGGAAAATGCAGCCTAGTCTGTTTTTCCTTCAAACAAGAATCACAAGGAAAAACCATATCTTGTGTTCCATCAACTGAAATCAAGTCTCTCATCTGTTCAAATTTTCTTCTCGACGGGTGACCGAGTCTTGCATGCCATAGAATGGAGCTCTCCCGTCTCCTAGTCGCAGCGTGCACCCTCGTATCTCCCTCGAAGAGTCTCCTCAGAAAGTATAGGCCCTCACGTTGCTGGCCTACCCCAATCGGCTTCTTCGAGGCTAAGTCCTGGATGACGCATACATCAGCCAGAAAAATCACAGCAACATTATGTTCCTTCGTCAACCGACTTACGGACAGTTAATTACACTTAAACTCCAAAACATATAAGACACTACGAAGCTCTATCCCTTTCAACAGTGTAGTCGAGCCAACCCATCTAACAAGTACGCTAGATCCATCCAGAATTTTGACTGGGCCATTATTACTTGTGACTTTAACTTCGGTTAACAAGCTTGTGTCATGAACTATGTGCTCATTGCAGCCAATATCTAGTAACCATTCATGAAGATCAAGAACATTACCTGCCATGTTAGCCATAGGGTCTATTTTGTCATCGGGGTCAATGTCGAGCAAGTGTTTGAGCTGATTATACTGCGCTGCTGTAAGTCCTTGAACAAGACTATCCGTTGCTTCGACGGCTGCTGCTCAAGGTGGCCCCCCATACCCCTTTCGCTGACCTCCTCCATCTTTTTGCGATCGATCTTTGTTTTGACGTGGAGGGTACCCTATAATCTTGTAACAGGTCTCCTTCACATGGCCGATTTTATTGCAATGCTGGCATCTCGGGCGATCATCACCGTCCTGAACACGTTCATGCGACCCCTTACTCTTTACGTCGTGCTCCCCCTTTCCAAGGAATGCGGCTGCTTCAATTTGACCCGGCCGGCTAGATGTAATGAGGCGTTGCTGTTCCTCCATTGAAACTGCACGATATGCCTCACTTAGGCTAGTAATAGGCTTGGTGCTTAGTAGCTGTGACCTTACGGTGGAATACGACTCATCAAGCCCCAATAAGAAATCAAATAATTGATTCTTTTCTTGCTTCTCCATCATACGAATCTCCAAGTTGCACGTACACTTTCCACACTCACAACTAGGGTCAGAACTTACCGAGTTGATTTTTTCCCATAGACTGCGAAGCTTGGTGTAGAACCGAGAAATCGATTGCTTCCCCTGCCTCGGAATTCCTATAGCCCCAAGTAGTTCATATGCCCTAGGAGCTGAGCCATGACTGAACCTTTGCTGCAAGTCGAGCCATATTTCGCATGCAGTTTTGGCATATCTCACACTGGTTCTGATTTCCTTACTCATAGCTGTTTTCAACCACCCTTTAACAAGGGCGTTACACCTTATCCAAGTATCAAGATCTTTCCCTTCGTCAGGTCTCTTAACCACACCATTCACGAACCCCAATTTATTCTTCGCTATCAGGACTTCTGTCATGTCAACAACCCATTCTCCATAGTTTACGTCGGTTAATACTTCTTCGACGAACATCTGATTAGGGCTGTCCGAGGAATGCTGATGGAAAGGGGAAGAGACTGGGTATACCTTATAACGATGACCGTCATCGGATCCTCCATCGACGGTGTCTCTGTTGGTACTATCAGCCGTCTCTTTTTCCGACTTATCAACCATTATTCAAACTTGCTGAATCTTCAATTCAGCGCTGATACCATGAAAAGAAACTAAAGCGTAAAAGAAACAACACTCAGGTTTACGTGGTTTCCCCGTTCTGTGAAGAACGAGACTACTCCACGGACAACTCCATAAGGAGTTTTCGGTTCTATTTTATTATCTTTGTAAGCTGCTCTTTCTCAAGTTGCGGCAGCATCCAAACACAAAACCCATATAAATACCCTATTACAGCCGTAGGGTTAAGCCAACACAAATAGCTAGGGAAAATTATCAATCAACTCCCTAAACTATAGAAGTATTACAATATGTATACTCAATTAAAAAAAAACTAGTCAAAATATTGAATCAATTTGTATGACTTGCAAACATGTTATGTAATTAATCGTAATTGGTATAGTACACTAGCTAACAGTAATGGTGATATCAATATTTGCAACCAAGACACCATTAATTGTTTATTTGATATTTTAGTATTATTTCAGTAGTAATTGGATTAAAGTATCCCGTTTAGTATAACCATGCAAATTTGGTATTTGGCAAAAGCAGAGTGATAAAAGGAGTTATTTCGAAATAACTCATTGCCCAAATAACTTCAGTAAACTGTTGTCAAACAAGTTATTTGTAAAATTGTTCAAATTATCCTAAAAATTGAATCATTAAAGATTAACAATCAAATTTAGTAAAATTGTTGTGACTTCAATCATAACTTACTCAATAACGTATATCATATACACTTAGCCTTACCCTCAATCGACAATATATAGTTAGTATATGTTGTTGATCGTATACTCTAAAATACCAGCACATTATATACTAACCACATACCCTATACCCTGACCATATATCCTTATTAGTTGTAATTTTGCTAGTATAGTTAATTTAAATGTGAAATTCATACTTTGATTTTCAAAACATAGATCAAAAAGTGATATTTTCTAATTGTTGTACCCTAACCATATATCCTATACTCTACCCCATATACCCTGTACCCTAACCACGTACCATAAACATAAATTAAAAAGGGATCTCCTGCCGTTAAAGGCTTCAAATAACTTCAAGTGAAAATATGTTAATAAAAAACTTAGAACCGTCAAAATCATCAATACCTTATACCATAACCATATACACCCTAAACCATTTGTACCTTATACCCTATACACTAACCATATACTTTATACCCTAAACAACGAACCGTCAAAGATTACTTATCAAATTTAGTATAATTGTTGGCTCATATTCACCTGCCCATAAATGTTTCATTCTAAAATTCCCACCCAAACCTCCCTCTCATTTCCCATTCCAAAGTGAACCGCAAGGCCGCAACTCGATTAACCAAAATTTTCAAACCCACTACCTGACGGAGTTATTGCAATCGTATGACTTAACATTCCAATTTTAACCCCCATTTGAAATAAAAGTTCAACACGAACACAACTTAAATGTGCCAAAATTTTACCAAGTGTTGTAAAATAACGACAATGTAGTGTTAAAGTTGTAATAAATGTAGAAGCATAGAAAACAAGTAGACAAATTAAGTGATATGTAAAACAAATGATTGTTGCAACTAATGATTAATTTAGTTATTAGCCCATAAAACATTACATATATATATATATATATTAGCCTTCAAAGCATATAAGAATAAATTTAACTAGTCATGCCCTCCATATACAAATTAAATATTCATATTTCAAAGACTAAAATTTTGAAAAACCAAAAAGTTGAAAACACCGAATTTGTTTCCCTCTTTCTTTTCAAAAAAATAAAATAAATTAAAATACTAAAATTTCCCTCTTTTCTCCTTCCATAAATTAGAAACACTCAATTTTCCCTCTTCTTTCTCTTCCATAAAATTGAAAGAACCAAATTTCTCTCCTCTTCTCTTCAATAAAATTGAAAAACCAAATTTCCCTCTTTCTTCCTTTCTTACACAAAAAGTTGAAACTCAAAATTTCCCTCCTTATTTTTCTTTCATAATCAAAAGAACCAAACTTTTCCACTTCTTTCTCTTCCCACAAATCAAAACCACCAAAATTCCCCCTTGTTTCTTTTCTCAAAAATTCAAAGAACCAAATTTCCCTCTTCTTTAAGATTTGGTCCGCATATGATGACTAAAAAGCTGGGGGCAGGGTCTTCGAGGGCGGGGAAAGCTCTCACCATTATCAAGGTATGTCGAAGACGGTTTGGGTTAATGACCAAACCCATTCGGCCCAGCCTGTGATGTCCCAGACTCGCCAACATGGGATACACGAGCCGACGGGGTCAGGGAATCTCCAAAACTTCCACCAACGCAGCTCTCCCCATCCTCTAAAGGCAATGCGAACTCATGACAGGGCTCGGAAACCTCCAAGGGATTTTCCTATGGCGCGATCGCCCAAACTCAATATGGGGCACAGTAAAAATCGGCAGCCTCTGGAATGTCGTGCACCTGCCAAAAAAGTGACTGGTCGGCAATTTGGCCGCCCCGCTGATGCTGGTAATGCAAGGCCGAGCAGGCAATCCCCCATTGTGAACCTAGACGAGAGCCGTATCTCCCGCACTATAGATACGTCCTAGGAGGCTCATAATGTGCCCGCCTCCGCAATTTTTGAACAAGCTCGGCGATGCCGTTTAATTCTTGAAGAGGAGTTGGAGGAGGATGAGCCATTTCTACCCATGCAGGATATGGCTCATACTAGCCCATTGGGGAAATCGAAGATGGTGGCTAATGTCCGTTCTCAGCGCGTGCAAAATGATGATCCCAAGCCAACTCCTCAAAAACCCGCCCGAGAGACACATACAACACAGACTGCTTCTCGCAAGCTGGGGGGCTGGAAAAAAGGGCCTGGGAAAGCTGAGCAAAAAAGGCACGGCGAAGGGGAAAGCAATTGCTAACAATAAATCTCCTCTTGCTGATGGACAGTGGGTAGATGTCCCCATTCAAATGGGCTCGGCCATAGTCCCCAACGCTGTGAATCCTCCGCCACGGTATGAGAACAAGGAAGGGTCGCGTGACTCGAGTCCGGACGGGGATGCTCTTCTATTTGAGCTGAAACGACGTACGCCTAGGGAGTCCCGTCCCTCTCATCGAGCAAAACAAAATCATGTAGTCCAAGCTTTTGAGGCTGGAATTTTGCTCGATAAACCAGTGGAGGCCACTCGCAATGATGCTGGGAAGGACTCGGAGGTGCTTGCTAGCGAGCTAGAAAAAGCTCGTGATGTCGGGGTGGGGGGGGGGGGGCTGCAGGAGCTCAATGGATATGGATCAAACTTTAACGATCCAAGTATTAATTCGAGGAAGCGACCCTTCCAAGAGTCGGAAGGAGATTTCTGTGAACCCCCAACCCCGAAAAAATTGTTTGTTGAAGACAAGGATACTGCTCTGACGGTGGAGGAACCTAGCCTGAAGTGGTCCTACCAGGATAAATGAGGCTTCTCGCAAGGAATGTAAGAGGAATTGGACCATCCCTTACATTCCAAACTGCTGTTGGTTTCATTCATTCGAATAAACCAACAACATGTGAGAGAGCCAAATTTGAGGATTTGCGGGATCAGAAAATTCAGATTTGGAGCTCAAATTTTTGGTATGAAAAATTTCGGAATGTGCAGGCGGGAAAAAAAAAAGAGGGAGATTGTGAAATTTTTTAGAAACCAATTTTCAAGGAGTCCCCAATTGAAAGGTGTACCGATTATGTGATTTATTAATATAAACGTTTTGTTTAGTTCATTTTAATTTTATTTTATCCAAATACTTTTTAATTCATCTTAATTTTCATCTAAAAAATGACACGATAAATTGTACGTTGTGCATGATAATTAAACATGATTAATTGCTAGTCACATTGTTCATGGTAATTAACTGTGACTAACAATTAGTCATGGGAAATGAAAACTAAAATGGTGTTGAATCAATTCCCGTGATTAGAACTATACAATCAATTACAGGAAATTTTTCTGTGACTGCTAGTATACTTCTTAGTACGGGAAAAGTTTCTGTGAATAAGATCCCGTGTCTGAAAACCAGTTTTCCTGTAGTGTTTTAGTCTTTTACTTTTTAGACTTTTAGAAAATTAGGTTACATTGTTTGTTTTTCTTTTGAAGAGAATTATTGGAGCTAGAATTACCATGAAGGGTATCATTCTAATTGGTGTGGAGCTAGTTCGGCTTGCTACTATTATTCTTAAAATTTTAATGTTTCAGAGCAGCATAAATGATTCACTTTGTATTGACAACCAACACTTCTAATCTCGTAAATATGGCATACATGCCACTTGCATATATGCTATAGAGTATGCATTCATATAATCAATATTGTTCTACTGTATTTCCTGGCATACATACAAAATTGTATTCTATTCATTGAGGAAAACACATCTCATTGTCAACATAATCATGCATCAATTCTGGATCTCTCTATCATTCTTGATTTCTCAATTGCATGCATAGCGATACATGAAATAGACTCTACTTTTATCATTGATTAATGACTCACAGAGAAGGTTTCAGTTCTTGCCTCTTTCAAGAAGTAATTGCCTCTTGATTTTGTGGCTCATATCTAGCACGACATACAGCTTCTATGTTTCTCAGTTTCCAATCAAATGTTCCGCCACCTAACCGGAGTAGCAGAATGTGCCAGTTCAAGCTTCTTAGGAGAGCTACACACCCACAGCCTGGCTCCACAATCCCGACTCCTTGTCACCGGGGCAGATACCTTCCATGCTTGATGCTTCCCCTCCACCTCGTTATTTCTCCCATAAAAAAGAAAAGGAAGATCACTTCTATGAAGTAGACCATAAAGTTAAGATTAGATGCAATTATGTTAAAATACATTTAAAGAGAATGTTATGTATTTTTAGTTGTGTAGTATCACTTACACTATTTGATAAAATATTACAGGATATTATTGGGAGTTACGAGTTGGATAGAAATTACTATACCTCGTTCTTCAATGATGACGTGAAATACACTATCGATTTGGTAGCATATGCAGTAGTTACTCAGATTTCCAAGTGTTTGGGGTTATATTTGGTTGGGGCATCAAACAAAAAATCAAAGTGGAAAAATTTGAAGGCTACAAATTCTGATCCGACAAAGGAAAAGAGGCCTCTTACTGCTTCTGGAATGTTGAGGTGCTTGTTTCATATCAAGTTTGAGTGGTCAAATGATGGAAATTGGTTGATTCTAGAGGTGGTAGTAACAAACAATCACATTGCTGACTTGGGTTTCCACAGTCATTAGTTCAAGCTATTTCTGGAGGGATCAATCAAGAGGAATGGTTTGAGTATATATGATAAACAATACATTCGAAAGCTAAGATCGGTTGGTGTTCCGCCAAGGAATATACACAAGACAGTAAATTGGAAAAAAGGGATCAATGGAAAGCACAACATAAAACAAAATGAGTTGTCAAAGATAAGGAAAGAAGAACTTGGTTAGATGATAGTCTTGTAGTACACTTTCAACAATGTTGGAGAGAAGGGTTATTTACTATTTGCAGTATCTCAATGGTTGTAACGTGCTTACACATTTCTGCATAGCCTACCACGGGTCATTAGTAATGTTGCGAGTTTGACACAATGTCATCGTGATAGATGTAGCATACAAGACCAATACGTATAAGCTACTGATGGGTGCAAGCTTTAAATTTATAAGTCGAAGCGCACTCACTAGTCAATCCTAACAAGGCCAAGTATAATCTAGCTAGGGAGGCAGTAAAGCGGCTCGGTCGTATTTCTAGGGTCACGGTATCCTAGGCTACTTAGGGTCAATCTCTATCTAGTCAACCTGTTGTTTGGCAGGTGGGCAGTTGATGATTCATAAACAAAAGATCAATATATAAGAAGAGGTACTCGGGGTATTCCCTTGCCCGAGCCTAGGTCTACTATGCAATGTCTAGATAAATAGGGTTTGTCAAATATGGTGAGTGAGCTCTTTTCCGTGGGCTTGCATGGTTATCCACATGCCTCCGACTACGCCTCCCCTAAACCCATGCCAGTCACCTCGCTCTAGGCTATCGTATCTGGGGCATTAAGCACATAGCTCCTTTCAATGGGTACTACCCACCATCCACACTAAGCTTTTATCCCGGGTTCTATCTAGGAAGACATTCCTATGGCAGGGGTATAGTCGCCTCGTCCACCATAGGATCTTATTCATACATCTAACCTTTATTTGCATGATGGCGCATACCCGTCTAACCCTAAAACACAATCAAAGATAGAGAAACAATGAAATCAACTAGATAAACACATTCATTCATTGAAATATACTACTTTAGACCCCATATTATAATCAAAAGTGCATAGATTCCTATTTTTTTTTCATCATAATAACTTAGATTTTCTAAATGAATGCTCAAAGTGTGTTTGAGGACTACTTCATTACAATTATACGCTTTTGGTAACGTTTTGTCCATTTTCAGGTCAAAGCCGGCCAAAAACCCACTTGGGAGCATTAAGGGGCATCAGGCTCGACTACTGGAGCAAGATTTGAAGAGAAGATCAAGGCCCAATTTTGGCGGCCAAATTGGCGGCCCATGTTACAAAACATCGCCATGAGCGCCATTTTGGGAAAATGTCATACTTCATCAGGAAGGCATCTAAAAATTATCTTGAAGCAGTAGTTGCATGGAAGGACTCCTTTGATTTTTGGATGACACATCAATGCCGATTTTCTCTCTATGACACCCCGGATTTTGGATTTAGGTTCGGCCACAATAAACGAATTAGTCGGATTGAACCGATAACATCTTTATTTAAATGGGTAAATGACTTTTAAAATTAATATTAATCCTAATTAAGGTAGAATAACTTCAAAAAATACCCCAACAATTCAATCCCACGCATTACTCGGCTTCCCATCACAATTAACCCTCACCAATTTCCCTCAATTAATTATCTCCTCCCATCCCAACTAATCCTCACACCACTCAACACTGAAAATCTTATTTAGTAGACCTGTATATTCTTGAAAGTTACGATTAAGGACTTTGATCTTGTACACTGAATATCTTCTGGATTTGATCATTTTAGAAATTAGAAAAAAAAATTGTATATTGATCAAGCATTAATTTCAGAATATTCAAATTTTATTTAATATTTTAATAAATTATAATGATTTCATATTTAATTAAAAATATATCCAAAGGATTTTATTGATTTAATTATTGTTTACGTATCTAGGAGAATGGTTTGATGTTAGAAAATTATGATCATGAAGTTTACGGATTTGTAACAGGAATTAAAAATTAAGTTAATATTTATTTTTATTAAAAAGGTTTATTTTAATATTTCAATTTATTATAATTTTAATTATTATTTTAAGGTACCTAAGATCAAAAATTGAGTTTTAAAGTGAAGAGTAAATTTTTGGACATTGTTGAAGGAATTTATGAGAATTTATTCAAACTTTATTGAGTTCTTTGAAGAATTTAAGTTTTGAAAAATTATAGCTTTGTGAAAAGTCTTTCAAAAGGAAAAGGGGTTGATTTTTAATGGATTTTGGAACTAGGCATTAAGGAGAAAAATTTCCAGTAAGGGCTAAGTTAAAGGAATACCGACTAAAAAGGGAATACTTTCAATTTATAGGTTTAAGGGAGCAGACGGGTTAAGGATTCTACATCAAGGGAACTAAGGAACCGTCCCTTAAGTTGTGAGTGATTTAACAGGGTAAGTTCTACACATTACAATTTTCAAGGGATGTGTTTTACATGAAGTTGCATGCCAGTATTTAAAGTTATGAATGTTTGACACTATGTTGTGTTGATAATGTGTGCCCTTCCTTTGATGCATTTGTTTATGAGCTTTCAATATCTATCTTGAAGCACTTAAGTTTCTGTCTTACTCTTAAAGCGTGTATAACCTTTGCGAACAAGTGTTAGTAGTACTTACACCACTATATAATTAGAGTGAAAAAGGTTTAGAGGTAGCTCACTAACGCAAGTCCCCCTCCCTAGTGAAAGTTTAAAGGAAGGGCACAGAACGCTCTTAAGAAATATGTGGATGAGTCAATAAGATCTCAATAAAGGATAAGGATAAAGATAGGCCTAAGTAGGCCCTCAATGTAGGAGTTGGGTTGCTAGACTAGTTAGTGAGATTATCCTTGAGTTAGTTTAAGTTTTAAGTTTTGAGAGTGGCGAGTAACAACAACTCCCACGTTTTTAAGTGTTAAAGTTAAAGGATGGAAGTAATAATAACTTCCATGGTTTAAAGTTGAACGCTAAAGGAAAAACCATTAAGTGCTTTGAGTTTTTTGTAATGGTGTAGACTGGCCCCAACCCACTCACCATGTCGTAGAAAAGGTACAGGGAACACACAGGCTAAGAGCATTCAGCTAGAGGAGAGCGGTACAATCATCAGTGAAAATATCGGAGGATGGATCACCGTAAGCAGCTGCCTCACGGATTTTTAGTTATTATGCTTTATGATTATGAGTAAAGACTAGAGATTAATAATAAAATTTTATGTTTTCCCCAAGGGTTGGAGCTTTGTTTTAAGTATTAGAGTTTACTTTCCGTATTCATGATTTGAGAAATGTCATTTCAATTTATTTGAGCAAGTTATTCCTTTTGTTTCAAAAATTAAGTATGCTTAGGATCAAAACCGTTATTTAAAGGTTCCAAAGACAAGGGTGTTACAATCTCCCCAAAAACACTAATCCAAGAACTATAAATAGGTACTAGGGTTTAGAACTCAACAGCTAGTGAATGGAGGCAGTTAGAGGAT